CCATGCGCAACCGGATTAAATGTAACTGAAACATTTCATGCGAGGCTTGATGACGCACTGAGGAAATAAATACGGTTTACGACTATGACGCATTCCACACAAGTATTACTACGTTGCCTATGCAATGTCCTCGAAATGACAATTAAGAGAAATACAGGTATTCGACATAAATGCATATATTTACAAAATAACAGTCAAACAGTACATATTCACATTAAAAAGGGTTTATAACAATTTCGTGAAAAAAATCACAGTTGTAGTTTTATTATGGCTACATCATAGTCAAATTAAAGTCCACTCATCGTTTTATCCACAATAGGTGGGTCAGTTTCCCTCAGATGACTGTGACACAGCTTTCAGCACCACCCGATCATTCAGAAGAAACTGGTTATCATCTTTCCATGCAAAGATCGAGATTGTATTCCTTCGACAACCTCCAGCCGCACTGAGAAATACCTAAGGACGTATACATATTAGGTGAGTTAATCTTACCTCAGGTGAACAATTCCTTATCTTAGCAACAATGAATATGTGTACAAGGGAGGGAATAATAGTGTAATCGGTACACAAATTTTTTTTGCACAATTAAATACGTATATTTACGTAGAAAAGCATGAACAAAAATTAAACAGAGTATTTTTCTTTAGTATGAGATTAAAATATGTCCCAATTATAATAGGAAGTGTTAGCTTTTAAGTTAAACCAATTCCCATGCATGTATTCATCAAGGTGACAATTTGGTTTTTAGAGCCATTTATCTTTCTTATTCTATTTTTCAATCTTCCTCTGAAATCTTCTATTGAATTTTTTGGGAGTACCGTTTCTGGGAGCGACGAAATCATCAGAATGGTTAACTGAGTGGTGTATATATCCCAAATCGGATAATCAATTATATCCAGCCCATTCTAACTTGTGTATGATAGTGCCAGGTAAAACGAGTCTCTGAATAATAGGCAGAGGAATGTCGGCATTCCTGTCTGGAATAAGTTCAATAAATCATTTCCGCATTTGGGTGTCATAAATTCCTAATACCCAAACATTATTAACTCTAGCGCGTCACCGATTGTATTTTTTCTTTATAAGCACCTTTTCGTTGATATGGACGACAACACAGACTCTTTTCAACACTTGTGTAATACTGTTTATTTTCCATGGTGCTAAATCTCGACAAAATTTTAACCACTGAGCAGTAGACGTCAACATATTATCTGTCTGAGCTGCAGTTGACCTCACACCGGACTTCAAAATCTAGTAATGGCAAAGAAACAGTATTTTTGTTAAGAAAAGCTCCGATTTAGCGAAGAAAGTTCCTGGAAAACAATTAACTGAGAGTATCACTCATCATTACGAACACCTAGGTGTTCGTAATGATGAGTGAACCTAGGTTCATTGAAGCACCATAGTTACATATACGAGAATGTCCTATCAAGCCATTATCTAGACAGTATTGAAATACGTGATCTGGGTGAAATTTGCACCTGAGCAGATGAACAGCGTTCATTTTCGCGCTAGAATAATCGTTAATTTCCTCAAGCAACAGCAAGCAAGCGTTCAAGGTCATTTCAGCGTTCGCGCTACTGGAACGCTATTGTTGACTTCGCGTAGCCACATTTAAGTGCTTTTGAAATAATTGGCTATTGTTTGATTCTATCACACATACGATCGCGTTCAAAGATGTCTTGGAATTAGTGATAAACTTTTTTTGACTGCACGTGACCCAAAATTGTTTGGTGAACTGTTCGAAGAACACAACAGCTTGTCTAGATTGCATCAAATTAGTTCCGTTGAATCATTCTTGCATTCAGTTAGACATTCTTGAGTAGTTAAACATCAGAGTCCAGTTATCAAATCACTTAATACTGGGAAAGGCTTTATCCTTTAAGAGGACTGATTTTTCCGTATTATGAAACTTCGTTAAGAAAACAAGCTCATTGGACTGGTAGCCATAAGGAGAAGTTTTTGAATGTCCACTTAGATCCAACACAAACATGCCTCGACTAGAATTTTAAGGTATGACATCACCGAAAGTAGTGTCTTAATGCCGATTGAATATTCTCAGTAAGAGATGGTTCACTCTCGAACTGCGTTGTGAAGGGTTATCAATACTTAAGTGTACTTTGCTGCACTCTCTTTTGCATTAAACAGCTGATTCCAGCACTCTGAGTCTTGTTACTCTTCACCCTCAAAATATCTTTAACAGATCTTACTGCGTTAGGTAGTGCTGGGACTACTCTGGGACTAGTACTCTAACTAAAGCAGACGTGAAGTAATGCTTGTTTCGTGAAATGGAGAGTTGTACATATCTAAAACAGGGCAAAGAGGAGGATCCGGTTTGTGCACTTTGGGTAAACCGTAAAGACATGGAGTACTGGTTGTTTGCATAGACTCATATTTAGCTGATGATAGTACCCATTTCTGTTTTGGCTTTTTAGAGAGTCAATCATTAGTTTCTGCGCTCTTACAATGTGGCCTTTGGAACTACTAATATATTGGGATTTGGTTTCATCACTCAAGATACCTTCCACTGTTTAAGACATAATCACTTTTTTTCCAGTAAAACTACACCGTCACCTTCATCTCGCTTGCTAATAATTATTGTATCATTACTCCTAAGTTCTCTTGGAGCTTCTCTGTGTTGCTTAGATAACAGACTATTTACTGAAAGTCTATTTTTGCATTGTTAGCAGCTGTCAACCAGAGTCGTTTTGAACCCAGTAACCTCATCGTCCGATGATGGGGCAACGTTAGACTTTTGAGGACACAAATTTTTAAGCTGAATATCTGTGTCTAATTGGTTAAATTCAGGATCAGAGTCACTAAATTTGGGAACTAGGGATAACAACCCCAGTTGGGACTTATTAAGTGCGACACTGGAAAAATTGTGAACATACCAGCTCGGAACTGATGGAAATTTCCTTTCAAGCATTCGGGTTTTAAGAGGTTTGACAAGATTAATTCTTTTTTTTCTGTTTACTGTGACGTTGTTGACATATTCCAAGGACGTCAACTGAAAACCGTCTATGTGATATGTTCCTTTCTACACCATTCATAAAATTTTTAACAGAATGAATCTTATTCAGGACCTGTCCATTAAAACTGTTAGAATTAGGATAAACCCGAATTCATCCTAACGACCTACAACATAGTTTTGAATAACAGTGGGTTTCTAAAGATTCTTGGAAAATTTCAACGATGTAAATATTCACCAAGTAACTATTTAATGATGACTTAACAATCGAGCTTTTATTCCAGAGACTTTCTAGGAGTATACAAGGAACGCTTGACGCAACACAGCTATGTTTGTAACTCTCCAGCCGATAAATGATTGGGACGCAAGCGAAAGATAAGCTAGATAGTTTTGCCACATCTGTGTTCATCTGTCCATTCAACTGCACCTGCGGTGTCAGGTATGTTGGGCGTTCTACTGGCTTCTCAGCCAACGTGTTGGTGGATATCCCCCATCGTGGTTTGGTAAAGTACAGAAAAAAGCCATCCGCAGCTCGATTTTGTCACATTTAGTTCATAGTAGTCATTTAGTGTAGAAAACGATATTTTTCAAAGTAATTCATCATATCCCACCGAATCTTTCTAGTACATTTCTTATTCGTCCACTGCGCACTGCTGAGGCGATAGGCATTCGGATTAATAAACCTAAAATATGCATTCAAAAGAAGTTTGTACAGCCATTATCCTTCCCTTGGCCTATTAAGACATAACCAACTGATGACTTCTATGCCAAACCTTACTCATTTTTCCAACTTCTCTTTTATCATCCCTTAAACTAACATATCTTCAATAAAAAGGTGTTTCATTTGCTTACAATCAAACATTACTCAATCGGTTCGTTTGTTTTTCTTATTTTTTTATTACAGCTTGAATCCACACTGTATTTTTGGTTAAAGTGTGGAATTTTTAGCATGGATTTCGGTAGCCCAAATTTTGCAGACCTACCATGGATATCAGGTGCTCGTCGGCAGGGGATCAAACCATGGACCATGGTCAGCGAGAGTCCTAACCACTGTGCCACCGACGCACATCGACTACTTCTACCTTCGTTTGTTTAACGTGCTGTTTTCCATTATTCGTCTTATCTCAGATGGCCTCACTTTTTCATCCTTATGATTCATAAAACCACCACTATTATTATGATTAATTGCGCAATTTATATTCACATTCTTATTGTCGTGTAGACAAAATTACCACGATTGGTTTATATTTGAATTGTTTTTTGTGAAGATATGTTTATTACAGTTAAGCCTGATGAGATTTAATTCAAGCCAATATTTTCCGCTAAAATGTATTTTTCTAAATTTTACTTTCGGTATATTTATTATATAGGATACATCAAATAATCAACCACATTAGTCATGGTCATCGAATTTAATTTACTTCCCTATGTTAGCCGATCTGTTGTTCCCGAGGGTATCGAAGAAGTTCATTTCAATTGAATGAACCTCCACCGTTTTACCGACAACGATGAATTCGTTTGTCTGTGTGATCTGCTGCATATGTTAGCCAATCGGGTTTTTAGGGAGCAACATGCCTCTTAGTGTGACGATTTATCTTTGCCCTGTCTTCATTTACGGTTAATAAATACACTCTCGACACCTGTAAGATTTGTTCTACCTTCTCTATTTGAAGCAGCGTTAATGGTAGACTGGCCGATGGTTAGGTGGAGCAGGTCAAACAGACGAAAGGTTATGTGTTAAAGACTTAGGTCTAGCCGGACAGGTGGCCACATAACTATTGTGCGCGTTATTTCTGGGTTAAGCCGATCGGATGGTATAATGCCAAATCACAAAAACGTATACAACCGCAGCATGAATATACAACGCTTGGTCTCCATGACCTCAGATATAGAGATAAGCAAATTACATAACACGGATGAATTATTGAAACTCGAAAGTTAGTGTAAGTTGATGAAACAGTTGCTTATAATTATCATTATGTATCAGAGTACGTGACAAGCAAAAGCTGGGATCAATTGTTGGAGAATGCTGGACAATTACAAATATGAATGGTGCTAAAGTTACGGGTGAATGAACAAATGTAATGTAAATTACATTTCTAAACTTGGGTTCATGCAGTGGGATCCCCTTCAACCAGATATGTGAAGCATTTGAAGAAAATTATGTTCTTACAAATGTTCATAGAGAAAAAGATGAACCTTAGATGAAGTAATTGCTAACATAAACCTCGATATTCTTAAAGTGAACTAAAAGTGAAATTTTTTTTTAGCAACAAGAATCACTGAAAAAAAAATAACTAGCAAACATATTAATACATGTAACAGTGAATAATGAATCTTTTTAAGGAAGATGTTCGGATGCATTATCTGAATTTCAACCTCCCACCTTTTGTTTGACTAAGTTGACTTGGGAGTTTATCGGCCTTTGCTTAAGGTGCAACCTTTAAAGTTTTTCGGAGTTACTGTTGTATTTTGTATTCGATCATGACAATTCAAGGAAGACCAAGAAGCAATCGAGCTTTGAGTACAAGCAGCATTCCAGCTTTTGAGCTGTTTCGCAAACTTCATTTCGAATTATCAGATGACAGACCGTAAGTTATACGATGCTAATTAAAATTATTTTTCGCACCAATGTTTGTTTAAGAAAGAAGTGATCAGTTATGTTTCATTCTCCTCAAAATTAATCCCTTGTACTACTTTGTTCGGCCACTAAGACGAATAATTTATTGGATCTGTAGAGAGAAAAACTAAAGGTTCTCCAAAATATGCGTAAATAATGTGGTCTGTTGCCAAACGGGCATTTTTACCTTCAAAAACTTATTATGTGCATCTCAAATGAGAGAATTGATGGAAAATAGCACAATACCGTAAAAAAATTCAGAAGTAATATTAGTCTTTCCTGAATGGGTGCCTTACCTAAGCTTACAACAATTCTAATCTTATTGTAACCTTTTCTTCCATAATGCTTTTTAATGGTAAATGATTTTATGTGCCCACTATGTTCTGGAGCGATACTGGTCATGCTTAATATGTCCTGTTAGGGCTGGAATAAAGCTGATAAGCCAACCCAGTAGGTTCTGATCTACTCCTACAAATGTATAAAAAGGAACAGGGTGCCAACAGCGGCTGTATTCATTTTGAAAACCAATACTGAGTTCTAGTCTGTGCCATTAAAGAATCCTTTGAGAACAGATTCAGAATTCACTGGCTGTAGAATGTTAGAATTATTTCAAAATTGGTGAGATTTAACTCAGCATTATAGTAAGCTTGGGTAGCTCGGAAAAGTGCCTGGACAAACGCCTGTATATGCTTAAATAAAACGGTATTTCCAAGGTAGAGACTAGTCACTGCTGATTCTAATCCTAAATTACAGATATGATGCTCAACTTATGAGTGTGATGAATGAAAATAATACAGAAATTCTACGTCTTTTCGGCATTTACTCACCATATGAGAGAAAGCTTTTTCCAGAATTTACTAGCATTATTTCCTCACTGTGTTCATTCCTTTTGAGACTTGATCAGGTACTTGTTTCTTTTATGGGATATTGGCTTCACTAGCACATATCTGAAATTTTTTCCTTTTCTCTTTGATTATGATAAATTTGTCTTATTTTGTTACAATGACATAAAGACTTCGCTTAGTTTACCAGCCGGTTCAAAACCCTGGTAGATAGGATATGTTGGGCTTGGGGCTAACGGTTCTGCATCCAAAAACCAATCAAACCACTACAGAAACCCCAAAACACAAGAAATATATTCAAAATGCAAAAATGTATAAAACAAACTTATTCCATCATAGATAAGATTTTATTCTGATAAGACACACAGTGTTATATAGTAATATTAACTGATGACCACGTTTTTAGCACAAATTATTGCTCATATGATTATGTGCAATAATTTGTGCTCGAAACATGTGTGTCGCTCCACAAAATATCGTACAGCAATAAACTGAGTGATGAAAAGCTGTTTTTCTCGTCTTATTTGTGAATTCGGACAGGAAACTTTATTTATTATATTCAAATTGTGAAGGCAAGTAGATTGTGCGGCTTTGGATTGTTAGTAAAATATCACAAATTTGGAACTACCATATTGTTTACGACACTTTTACCGTTTGTTCAGTGTTTCCATGCGTCTTTCCTAATTTCTTGCAGAAGATGTTCCATTGTGAGTAAAATTTATTTTGTTTAAGTCTCACAGGGATATACAGTAATATTTACTGATGACTTTTCGAGCAATAAATTGTGCTCGAGATATCTTTAGTAAATATTACTTTATAACACTGTTAGACTTCATCAAAATAAATTTTACCCACAACGGAATTATACTCTACCACAGTGAATAGGTTCTATTCTTATATCAGTGAAACAGACGGTCTTCCTACTAGGAAGCTTATGAACAAATTAGCACGACCTTGTCATGCAGTAGATGTTTTGTTCTGGGTTATTTACATATTTGTTTCAATATGTGGTAAGCTTATACTTTGCGCAGCTAATGCTTATAAATGCAATGATTAAGAACTTAGTTGTTCACCTATTTATTACTCTCTAGGTTTTACTGAAACTGTTTTTGAGAGAGCGTCTCTCAATTAAGTGCAATTCAGATAGGTTAGTCCATTTTATGCATAGTCTCTAATTGTAGTAATTCATAACGTCTTCTTACGCTTTTATTTGTTTGGTGAGATGTGTAAAAAGAATTTTGTCATATTCTAGGACATTGCTAGGGAAAACATTCAAAAAATAACCTGTGAGCCTATTTGAATAAAGTTTATGTACAACCGGTGTTTATTTTCTTATGTCTTGTTGTTTTGTGATTCTTCTGTCAAATTACTTTGAAAGTCTAGGCTTTTCTTGTTAGGTATTAAGCTAGTAAAGACTGTTCCGTCTAAATTCACTGGGGGCAACCTAGATACTATAGTTATCTGAAGACGTTTGTTTACCTTTGGAACATTTAAAGTAAGGAATTCCTCATAAATGGTCACAGCATGTTTAAAAAAATCAAAACAAGATTTTTATGAACCTCACTGTGTGAGCCACAACTTCTCTCAGATGACAAAGCACTAAACTTTATGAATCATTTTGTCAAAAGAAAAACTAAGGCAAAACTAAAGTTAATGATATATAAGAAATTAACACATTGAAACAAACATTTGAATTTCTTATCTACCTATCTGTTAAAAATAAAAGTCTCAGTATCTTTGAGTCTCATAAACAAAGTTAGAAAAATTATAATTGATAACGATGATACGGAAAATGATATTTCCAACATAGGACAAATTTTGACCGGCGATTGTTATCCTAAAAAGCCTCTGAATAACAGTCTCAGTAGAGAGGGTCAAAAGCAAAACAAGACTGTAAAACCTTCGGTATTGACGGTAACCATTCGATACCGAAGTGATACGAATGAGCACCTTGCTTCGTATAATATTAAAGTCTGCTTCAAGCCCTCTAATTCCTTAAAGAAAGCTCTGGTTCATGTCAAAGATATATTTCGTAAAGTGACACAAAACAACTGTTCAAAATGTTAGGCTTGCTATATACAGTAAAGTAGCATACTGAAGAAGGACAGACTGTACACAAAACATCCACCTAGAAATGAGACAGAATTAAGGTCTCGAAAATAGATCAGCTATCGCAGTACATGTTATAGATAGTGGACGTGAGATCGATTTTGACAATGTAAAAATTCTAGGAAAAAGCTCTCATTCCCATAAAGAAAGGCTGACCTCTGAAGCTTTGTATATTTAACCATACTGAACAGGAGAGGAGGTATGGACTTGTCACCTAAATGGCAGACTTTAGAGCGAAGCAGGTGAAAAATTTATACAGTCCTATGTTGTGGCCTCTGGAAAATATTATCATGATTTCCACAAATGATACGACTTGTTTTCCGCACAATAGATAACATGCACATACACTCATACAGATATATGTGTACGTATGACAATTTGACACTAGTCATTACGAATATTTGACAACTGTCTACATTTTCTATTGGTAAAAGTATCTATCAACAAGCAGCCTTCACATAAATTCACTCTAACTGATGTGTTATTAGATCACATATTTTGGTGGTTCATGAATTTCGAGTAATTCTGCTAAGGACTCAGAGGCTTACACAGCAAGATCTTTAGAAAAATCTTGTTTTCAATTCTTAAACATGTCGGGATAATTTTAAGTAATTTTATGATGATTTGATTTAGCGCTCAAATTATCCCAGGGAAGTAGTAACATCTATGGTCTGGATATATATGATGTATTACAAGACAAAGCTACTGAGTTTTGGACCTACAGTTTGCTATTACTTTCACTCACCGACTACTGTGTATGATGATATTTAAGTCCTTATAATTGCTATTCTGGTGGCAACTAGCTGTTAAGGATTTTCATATAATTTGATGCGTTTCTTCACCGCTTGTCAAATGATTGTTTGTTATCATTTGACATTGTCAGTGAAACAAAGTGGGGTTGGTTAAACCCTTCAGAACGATGTGCTGTCTATGGTTAAGTAAATCTACCCACTGAATAACATATTGTTTGACAACTTAGGATAAACCGAAACTTGTGTCCACTCATTGGGTATTCCTGTTCACGCACTGAACTTTCCTATTGAACTAGAGAGAATGAAAATCAGACATACTATGTTACACATAAAACGAAAGATTGTTATAAGTGCTACTATCACTATTGTATACTGAGTAATGAAATCTAGGCAGAAACACTTATTCATCATGTTTTTTTCTAACATTCTAACTTATTGGGCCTAAAAGCTTTTAAAAAGGAATGGAGTGTATTTCTAATTATTCTAAACATAAGTACTGATTCATATTGAAAAAGGGTTTTCAGAATATTTCATACTGTTGATTGTCTTAAAATCATGCTTTGCAATAATTAGGAAATTAAACAGCGAGTTTCAACAACGTTTTTAAGATAAGAAAATCAAGGGTATTTGTTAATCTTTAAGCAGTTTGATTTCTAAGTTAAAGTGTACTTCTAACAGGATGCATATAAATACAGTCTATATTCAGATTGACAAACAGTGATTAAGGTAAACTGATGTGAGTTTATTTGTTTTTTAACACATCAGAATATCTGTACACGAAAGTTAATTTCCATTTCAAAGCTCTTAGATTCACTAACAGACTGAGCTATATAGATCAGTGAAGTATCCAAATTACTCACAGAAGCTTTGGTTATGTCAAAAAGTGTTGTGATAATCAACAAAGTTCATTTGTTGTAATTAGTTCTTGTCTGTCAAATCAATTTTGTTCGTACGTAAATGAGTTAAGTGTCGTTTCTTTAATAATAAGATTACAGTTTCAGGGTGTTTCACTGACCTTTTCTACAATTTGTAATGAGTGTTTAAGTTTAACTTAAGGTTTTGCAAGATTTGTTGTTCGTCGAATTCTTTAGCCAGAAGTCCCTGGTTTTTGACACACAACCTCTCTCAACTGTATTTATGACTTCTTATTGTACAGGGAGTTTACTGATATACCAAAAACAATTATTTAGCAAATTGATCCCCTTGGGTAAGCTAGTACCAGAAGTAGGAAAATGTTAAAGTTTCCTTCTAAATATTTAACGAAAGTT